TATATATACAAACATGAACTGGACACAAACCAATACACAAATGCAACACACATGTATTAAAATGAGCCTATAATGTGTGCATCAACATGTTCTGTGAACATAAATACATATATATATATATATAAATATATATGCTTGTGTTTACTGTTTTTTTTTCTGTATAAATAGAAACGGTAGTTGAAAATGTACACATCGTCATCTTCATCATCATCATCATCATGAAACATGATATTGGGCAAAAACTCATATAGAGAGCAGATACATTATGATAAACATTCTTCATGTAACTAACTAACTAACAAGTAAAAAAAATCAAACAAATCAAATCCATTGTTATTGTTGTTATTTTATTTTGTGATTCAGGCAAAATTTTCACACACACAAAAAAAAAGTTATTGTTTAAATTCATTGGATTTTTATTTGAAAAATGACGACTATAAATCAGATTAACCAGTTGATGAGGAATTTACACGTCAATAATTTGTTTATTTATTTTTAAAACTCCTTGAACAAATTTTAAGTTAAATAAATAAATAAACCATGTCAAATATTTCATTTGATAATTGAACATTGAACATGATTTGTTTGAATCAACTAAATTATATCTTCTATCGAATTAGTCAGCGTAATTGGAAAAATACTTTCTATCACTATTATTTGATTTGGTTATTTACATTAATAGCTTATATATTTGCAATTCCATTTCATAGAATACATTCAGAAATTACAGTCAGTTTACCAGATACTTATCATACACATGTAAACACAAATAATTATAAAGATGAATATTTTCTAAAAAATGATCATTTCACTAATGTTCAACATGATTTGACTAAAACGGATTTTGTTAAAAATAAACACCAAAACACTAATTTACTACTTTTAAATCATACCAATAGTATATTGGATAGATTAAATGAAACTACACTAAATGAGCTTAGACAACCACAACTACAACAACAACAACCGACAGAGACGTTACACTTCCAGTCCGGTTCCAAATTATTCAATACACCTTTACATATTCATTCACCTAATCGATATTTCAATGAATTAAAACAACACTATTCTAATGTTTGGTTACAACAAAGGAAACATTTGACAACAACATCAAAATATCATTCAAATGCATGGACTACATTGCATGTAGAGAATTGTTGTAAGTTGCCTATTAATCTGCCTATCTATCTATCAACCTATATATATTCATGTATACTTGATTTTAAGCATTATCAATAGTAAATAATTGCTTAATCTTTGTAGACAGACTACTATATGTTGTTCGTTTCATATTGTTAGATATAATCATGCATCTGGAACTTTATCTGATTGTTAGTAGATTATAAAATACAATACAGATGATAAAACAAGGTTAAAGGTTAAAAAGAACTGTACAAAACTGTACATTAGTTAGCGGTATTGCTCATTAAAATAAAAATTTGATCAATTCAGTTTTACAGTGCTTCGGATGATGCTGTTGTTGATAGTTTGACCGAAATTCAATTAGTCCTAGTTGGTACATATTCATCCTATACGAATGTAACTTTATATTAGAATGGATGGAAGATGTTCAAAAGGTGGGGCATTCAGAACGTTCACTTTATCGCAAGATTAATCAAATTGGATGGTCGAAAGCATTAAAAATTTTGACCCGTTGCACCAGCAAGTGTTTAGGTGGACTTAGAAGTTGAGTGGATAACGGATTGATGGTGTTAAAAGCACAATGTACTGCGTTCGAATCCCGGAATGGAAATCAACTAATTGATAACGAGTCGTAAATACTGATGAATGTTTGTGTAACTATAACACTGTCTTGAAAAGTCATTCTAACTTTAACTTCAGGGATAACAAGTCAGATAGGTTAATCATTTACTAAATTTACATTACGGAGTTGTGAAGATTGTTAAGTTACACATTTTTGAAACCATGAATCGATCAATGTTAGACCATCTTTATTAGTATTTTCGAACGTCGCTTTGATTCAATCTCTTTACCTAACAGTTCAGATTTGGGCAACCCATTGAAGCTCAACTTACTTATCCATTAAACCACAGATTATATTTGATGAAACTCTGGTAGAGTAGTAATCTTGTCTGATTACTTAATAGTCATTGATCAGTTAACTTAATTATTTAATGTTAAGTTATATCAATAACAGTTGAAATATTTCAATGATACAGTTGCCGACTGTGATACTAGTTAATGCATCTTTAAATCCTACAAGAAGAATCAGTTTCTTCAGCATTGAAGACTCGTAATAGTAATGAGTTATCAACTAGTGTGAACTCCATCTTCAAAGCTTCCTTCCGGTTACCTCTAACTATCTAACATTTAGTTATTAGATTTCTAAGTTCTGATAAGAAATTTTTAAAAATATCACATAAGAAAAAATTGCTTTTCAACAGTTTCAAAACAGTACAGAATTATGACATTTTATGAAATAATATTCATAATATTTTATACTTTCAAGTTATTCATAGTTTACAAATTACAAATAATTTATAATCCAGCCTCTTATAATAACAATTACTTGTTATCTATGACAATCTCACATTGATCGATTCATGGTTTCGAAAATGTGTAACTTAACAATCTTCACAACCCCGTAATCCAAATTACCTGTGCTCACTAGTCACTAGCTTCGTGAGGAATCTTCTCCGAGTTCTAGTGGGAAGACGTGACCAGTGAAGTTCAACCTGTTCGGGTGTAGACAGTAACTACTGAAAACTGTGTATGCGGTTGCGCAGCTGTGTGAATTGGTCGAAGTTAGACATTAACACCTTTAGACGCCGGCTCAGTGGTCTAACGGTTACGGCGTTCGCGCGCAATACCGAGTGTCCTGGTTTCGAATCCTGCGAGTTGCAGGAGTCGTAGATGCGCACTGCCACTGATGAATCCCATACCAGGACGAAACGGCCATGTTCCAGTGCTTCCAGGTTTTTTAATGATGGCCTAACATCGATCGATTCATGGTTTCAGAAAAAAAACAAGTTAAAAAAATAAAAAACTGAATGAATATTTACAAACAAATATTTCAACTAGTAGTAAACATTCCCAACAGAATTGATTGTATCTCTCTTAGCGTTAAGTTTCAAATCGAGATGATGAAAAAAAAAAATTAAAGCGCAAATTTGTTGTTTCCATTAATTTTTCTTCAACATATGGTCCTATTCATAATCAGATTAAGTTTAATTGCTTACATATATACATATACACTGTTGTACCTTGCCAAATGAATAGTACTAGTAATTTGTCGTAAGCATGTATATAGTTAACTGATTACTCTACATTATAGTGTTTAAATAATAGAACGTAATAATTTTTATTACTTTTCACTGCTACATCGTCTACTTATTCTTCGAATGATGATGATGATGATGTTGATGGTAGTATTGATAAGAATGCAATTTAACGTCTATAATTCATTAACTTTCTTACCCTTTTTTTTCCACTAATAAATAGGCATTAATAATAAACTTAGTTGTTGTTGGTAGATACATATCTATCTATCTATCTATCTATCTATCTATCTATCTATATGTATATACGTACATAGTTACATGAATGAATTACCTACCGCATAAAATCAAAATCATATTATAACCAGAAAGATGTATACATATATATATATGTATATATATAGCGAATACTGTGTAAACAGTTATTTTTACAGTTTTTTTTAAAATACACGTTAGATAGTTAGATAGATAGAACGATAGATAGATGTTCGTAGTGCATTATCAGAGTTTTATGCAATGGTTAAAAAGTTGTTGTTGTTGTTGTTGCTGTTGCCTCATCTTTCATTCTTGCCATTCGTAACTCCTTTCTCTCTCTGACTCTCTCGTATCTACATGGGCGCGCACACACACACAGACACAGGCAAACTGCATAAAATCTCTACACACACACACACACACACTAATCTTCTTCATGTGTTCGTTCGCTCGTCGTCTACACTTGTATTCTACACATTATTAATCTAGTATTATTATTATTATTACTACTGTTATTATAATCTTACATACCCTAAAAGTCGAAATTTATTAATCAAAATAATTTTATTGTTGCAAGTATTCATTGTTGCCTAAAAAACATTTTCTTTTCTGATATTTGGATAAATTTTTTTTTTCAGAGAAAAGTGAATTGTTCAAGATAATAGTAATAATAATAATAGAAAGCAGGAGAACGTTACTATAATCGAAACCACACACAAAGAATTTATCCTCACACACACAAAAAACAAACAATTGTGTGTGTGTATGATTGCTTGTTTTAACGATTTGATTGTATTTCAAAAATGTTCATACGTCAACAGTCAATAAAAAAAAAATAACCATTTCAATAACATAATGGCTTTAGTATGAGACTCGTCGGAAGTAAATACACTTTGTATTCAACCTATCTTAAATGCAAGAATTTGTTTACAAAGAAGTCTGTGCTGAAATAACATATTCGGTCGGAGTTGATCAGGGGTACCTGTGTGTGTGTTTGTTGTGAAACGAGTGATTAACTTTGCGTTGCCTGTCTAAAATGTACAGTGGATAATATTACTGATTATGATTTAAGTAATATTATGAATATTATGTTGTTTTTTTCTTATCATCCCATTCTTGTGTAACGCATTGATAATTATGTAAATTGAAATTTCCTACTAGTCTATTCTGTTCTCCTGTAAACTCATATATTAATCAAGCAACTATAAATATGACCTAAGCAAATGGATTTATTGAATGCCAGTTAGTTAATGGTTTCTAATGTTCGTTAGTTGTTCAACAAAGACCAGTTCTTGGTGTTGTCTATAAACCATGTAGGTGAGTACTGTTAAGGAATTTCGTATTCAAACAAAGAAACTGTCTATCTCTCGAAATATTATATTGACTCTAATTTAGGAACAGCCGAACATACGGGTTTTATTCATAGTCAGTCATTCAGTTGCAACGTAGAAATTTGTACGTAAGTACATCAATTCAGGTTGTTGTCGTAACACATTAACACACAGAAGCAATGGTCGATTCAAATCCCATAGTGTTAGAGACAAGGGAAGTATTAGCAGTAATAGGAGAAGATTAGAATTATAATTCAGTGAGATAAGTTTAGGAAGGTGGTGAGGTTTTGACGAATCCAAAATATTAGGATTTGAGAGAACACAAAGAGTGAATACACTTGCGCCATTGCAAACAATTTCGAGCCATGTAATTCAGCGTCTATAACCTATCGGTGATTTTCGTCTCACGGATCCCAACCAAGTAACCTACATCTACCAACAATACTCAGTCCACTTTTCAGTGACTTCATGGATTTCTGCCACGTTTTGGTCTGGCCACCCCTAGCTTTCTTCCAACCTATTCCTACACTACAAAACAAAGCTCTTCGAGACAGTCGGTGGTTAGGCATACTCAACACATGTTCCAGCCACCTCAAGTGATGAACTTTAACTACGTCATCAATTGATTTGTCATCCTTACTCGTTTCCTAACTATAGCATTACCTACTCGGTTGTCCCAGGATACACGAGTAATGCTTCGGAGACATAAAATAAAATAAAATGCTGAAATTAGCTAAAAAAGAAGATACATTTTTAACTCGTAATGTCTTCGAATATTCTTATTACACATGTTGTTACATGTAAGTTGCTAATAAAAATGAACTCAATGGTGCAAGATTATGCGTGATACACTTAATTTAGTTCCCGATCTTCCCCAGTAGTTTAAAATGTATTGTCGTAGCATATTTTCTTACCGTGTTAGACATTTATGGTAATCTGCCTTCCAGTTATTTGATTATACAGAATGTGATATGATTTAGTGATGCCTAATCCTAATTATTCTGATGTTATGTTCTCTTTTGTCTGTCTATTTTAAACTATACCAGTGTTTCAACAGATTTTTTTTCAGTTTATTTTGATAGTCTCTTTCTCGTGGAATAAGCTACACTTCAATAATGTCAATAGTTATTTTCCGTTTGCTAACCAAAGGTCGAGTGTACTATGCAGAAGTTCGCTCCGTTCTCCTATATCGATAGGAAACATGTCTGTCAGAGTAAAAGATATTCGTAGTTTACTAGTCTTCGATCATAGATGTCTTAGAAGTATTGCTCATGTATCCTAGGACAACTGAGTAAGTAATACTATAGTTAGGAAACGAATACTAGGTAAGGATA